GTGGTGGGTGAGGAGAACTTCACCACTCCCTGCTATATCCAGATGGACGAGGAAGCGTGTCACATCCTGACGGAGACGCTGGGCACATACTGTCTGGTGGGTCAGTCGGTCAGCACTGCCGCCGCCAAGAGACTGAAGCTGGCCATCTTCGGCCCGGTCAGCTGCACCGTCCTGGAGTACAACATCCGAGTCTACTGCCTGGACGACACGCAGGACGCGCTCAAGGTCAGCAGAGCAACAACACACCAGTTTGGTCTCATTGTGTTGCTCACGCAGCTTTACAGCCCACTGACTCCTTCATAAACCGTCCTGTCAGGTCACACATTAGGAAGTCCGATTCACTTTAGTGAATCTCTTCATTCACATTCCTGCAAACTAGACTGCACACTGGTAACCCATTCATAAAGACAGTAGTCACTTACCTCGTTTCTGAATGAATCAGCCGTTTGAATGAATGACTAATGACTCGCTCATTAAAACAGTCATTTACCATCATCTACTGGTTAGAGTTGCATTTTTAATAATAACAACAACAGATTGTTATATTATATTGTTATTAATATATAAATAATTTAATATGTAAAATATATTTATTTATTTTTATTTTATATTTTTATTTATTTTTATTACTTGTATTAGTGTAAATTTATTAATTTAAGCAGACTGCAGTAGTCGACATCGACTAACCAACAATATGCATGAACAATATGCATATTTATAAAAGTATCTTAGCCAAGATTAATGAATACTGTTAAAATATAATATTAGTTAACTAAGAATGTGAACAACTTAACTCTGAAGTGTTCTGTTAAAGTGAACTGCTTTCTGCTGATAGTTTGTAGTTGAACTCTGTTGACTTCAGAAATTCAGCACGACTTGTTTATTTAATTGAAACCATGAGCAGCCTTTAACTCGCCAAACTAACATTTCACAGTCGCTTCATCAACACACTGTGTGTGTGAGTGAGTGAGTGTGTATGTGTGTGTGTGTGAGAGAGTGAGTGAGTGAGTGTGTATGTGTGTGTGTGTGAGAGAGTGAGTGAGTGAGTGTGTGTGTGTGTGTTAGTGTGGGTGTCAGCAGCAGATGTAGTGTAGGTGTCAGCAGGCATGCGAGAGCATCATCTGAATATAAACAATGATATGAATCTGATTTCTGTGAGGCCTGGACACATGAAGCCGCCGCAAAACCGACTGAGTGTGAGCTGACGTGTGTGTTCCTGCTGAGCGCTGACGGACTTCCTGTGTGTGTGTGTGTCCGTCAGGAGGTGCTTCAGATGGAGAAGCAGATGGGCGGGAAGCTGCTGGATGAACCCAAGTCTCTGAACTTCAAGGACAGCACACACAACCTGCGTCTGTCGCTGCACGACGTCCCACACACTCTCTGGAAGAGCAAACTCATCGCCAAATACCAGGTACTCACAGATTCTCCAGAATAGAAATGAGCGTTTTACCATCTGACTTTATAATGCAGTTGATGCCAGTCATGCAAAACATGTTCAGTATAGCACATACTAGTTTATTATTATAGTGTATACTTTGTGTGTGTGTTATTATATTACAGTATATTCACACACACTAACACGCGCACAAACACACACACACACACTAAATTACACACTAAAACACACACATTCACTAAAACACACACACACACACATGCATGCAAGCTTGCACCCACACACACACACTAACACGCACACACATACCTGCATGCATGCAAGCTTGCGCACACACACACACGCACACACACACACGCACACACACACATGCATGCAAGCTTGCACACACACAAACACATACACACAATTATTATTATTATATAAAAATAAGTAATAATTCTTCTATATATATATATACAATTTACTTTATTTTTCTTTTATGTAAAATATTATATATAATTAATTCTATAATTGAAGTATTTTATATTATTATTACAACATATTATTATATCAAAATTATTATTATTATATAAACAACTGTTTGATAATGTAATATAAATAATGTACTACAAGAATAAAAATAAATTATAGTGTTATTATTGTTTACTATAATTTGTAAGGCATATATAGACTTGGCATTTATAATAAATGTTGTATGTAATGAATGCCAATATAATTTATAATATATACATATAATTTATGTTTGGTTGTGTACTCATATTTTCATTCCTGCTCTGTTCTGAAAACTGTTCAATTTAAATGATTTGTTACGGAGTGAGAGGAACTAAAATACAAGTTTTTAGTGATTATAATGGTTATTAAAGAAATAAACATTTAGTTTTATTTACCGGTGTTTTACATTATTTTTAAGTGTAATAGATAAGTTGCATCAGTGTCATTAAAACAAACAACCAAAAAATGAAAATAAAATCTGTTGAAAATATGAAATAAAATGCAAAAACTTAAATAAAATAAAACCTTGAAATGCATATGTCATATAAAAAGTCACATTTTATTATTATTATTAATATTATTTTATTTTATTTAAATGCAACTTTGACCTGGTGAAACTTCTTTTTCTGGAAAATACAGTTAATATTAATATTGTATGTATTATTTTCTTAAATGCTGCTGTTCATCACTATTTTCAACTTTTTGAACTTATTTAATTTTTGTTATTCAATTTATCCTATAATTTAACAAAATGTAGTATATGTATGTGTCATTAAAAAAATAAAATAATAAAAAACCTGAAAAAAAAGAAAAGAAAAGCTTTTGAAAATGTGAAATAAAATACAAAAAACTGCCCAGTGCAGCTTATTTTTTTTGGATAACATGGAATATATTAACAGGTTTGGGGGGTCAAGTCACGCCTTTGCTCCAGTATTTACTCGTGTTATATTTGTGCTTGTGCTGATGCTGTCTCTGTGTGTGTGTGTCTGTGTCTGTGTGTCCGTGTGTCTGTGTGTGTGTCCGTGTGTGTGTGTGTGGCAGGAGCTGGCGTTCCAGCAGGTGTGGAGTGGCTCTCAGAGGAACCTGCACTGCACCTTCACACTGGAGCGCTTCAGCGCCGCCACACTTGAGCTCTC